TATACGTTTGCTGATTATTAGGAGCCGGGGTTGTTCTACGGCCGTGGTCCTAGCAACTCAAAATTTTTCACACATGGCAATGTTATCCACTTTTAAAAGTAAAGTAAAATTAACACTACATTTTGCGCTGATCCACTGCTGCATGCCCCTTCACGCTGACTGCATTATGCTGAAGTTGTGACCATTATGGTTGTAAGTAAAAACTGCAACAGCCATTGGTTTGTTTTTGGTTTTGGTTTTGTGTGTGTGTGTGTGTTCCATGCTTTCTTCTTTCTCTCTGTAAAACCTTGAACAAGTTCAAATTGAGATGGAAAGCTTGCGGTAAACACCATGCAATATCTCTTTTTTGAGTCTGTGTGGTTCTGATAAGAACCGGAGAGGCTCAACGTTTCGGACAGTGTGCTTTGTCCGTCGTCAGGAGAAAGTTCAAATTGGTTGAATAGGCCTATACATGCACATTTTGCAAGCGTTAGGTATGTGGGCGCGGCCACATGAAGACTTGTTCGGAAGCTCCCGACATGTTACCCATTCTTTAGCAATTGAAAGCTCCAGTATTTGAAATAAAGAAATGAAAGTTTTCCATTTGTGTGAGGGGGGTATATGAAAATTCCTCTGAGAAGAAAAAAATGTTTTAGAAATATTTCTATTTTGCCCCAACACAAGGCCTGTATATGCCACCGTAACATTGTCGACCGCACGATGTAGACAATCATCAGGAGAGTCTAGAGCTCCAAGCTTCCCCTCTCAAGTATCTCATTTTCTACTGAAAATATCTACTTTGCGTCTTATTTTCTTTCCTGTGTTACAAAATAATACAGGGCCTATGTAAGGAAACAAATTTCGGATGACTCCAAAAAGAAGCGAGTGGGAACATTAGAGTTTTGTTTTGTACCCCCACATTAGCCGTAAAGGATAAAACCGCTGAATGAGGTGTAGGGCTTGGTTGAATCACCTTGGGCTGTACCGTACACAGTCAAATACACCGTGTCTCCTAGCTGGAGAACTAGCACCGCGCTCCCAGACACCTGCTCGTTGTGACTGGAATCACTGCTACCGGCAGTGACTACCCACTTGTTGTTTTTCCTAAGATGAACCCGGAGGTCGCGGTTGGATGTGGACGCAACATTATGCACAGAAAACATGAAGACGTAGGTGCCTGGCACATTACATATGAATGTACCAGTCGCTAGATTGAAACTGGTACCCGGCAGAAGTGTTTCTATCCGCTGGAAGGGCATTTGGGTGTAGGAACTCCTATCCAAATTGCTCGTCCGCGTCACAGTAAAAGCTACCCGATGGGCGGAGTTATTTGGAGTTTCTCCCGGCTCGCCCCTCTGACCTTTGACCCCTGCTTCCCCGGTCGGGCCAACTAAACCAGGTGGACCCCTTGGACCTATCTTGCCAGGCAGGCCTATTCCGTCGTCCCCTTTGGGTCCAGGGCTCCCAGGAGGTCCCCGCTCACCGATTGCACCAATCGGACCAATTTCACCCTTCTGACCTGGCTCACCTGCGTCGCCCTTTGACCCTGTGGGGCCATGAAGGACTGGGCTACCCGGCAAACCTGGTGTGCCAGGGGTTGCAGCAGGTCCTTGGCAACACATTGGACACACCTGTGACTCACAGCCATTACCATCTGTGGACTCTGGCCTGGTAAAAGCAGATTGGGGCTTGGTAGAATTACCCAGAAGGATGGTGACTGAAAGGATGGTCGCTATGGAGATTAGCATCTGGAAAAGTAATCAAAAAACGAACAAAAAGATGAGGATGATAGAAAAGGAATAAATGACCGTTGGAAGTGTTGGGAAAGTTGGGGGCTAAAGGGAGTCACGGTTTGGCATTTTGGAATGCTCGTTGTAGTGTTGTTTTTATTAATAGCAGCGTTTTGTAGCATGTGCACAATAAGCTCGCGTGGAATCTTGATCAAAAGCTTATCAACTCAAGGGATTAGTGTCAAGCGAGACATGGGGAAGGTAGACCACCCCACTTTTGTACGGGCTGATGGGCCCTCTCTTTCCCAACAAAGAAATTCTTCAATGAGGAAAAATAATAAGGTATTGTATCCAGAAAATCAGTTCAGGACTAGACACATCAAGAAAGATTTGCAACAAATTTTCACTGGATTTGTCACTGGAAATGTTTTCAACCTTTGCGAATTTGCAGCGCAAACATGTAATTTGATGTCACAAATGTGCATTTGCATGAACCGACCTTTAGACTACAAGGGCACTCAGTCAAAGAAATCAACAAAATATAAAAATGAAAGGAAAGAAAATGCAGTTATACAGGATGTCCCAGAAAAAAAACCCCCAAAAACAAACCCTGAGGAAAAAGGTTAATATGCCCAAACCATGCGATATGATTATAATGTATAAGGATATCCGAAAAGTAGAAGCAGTATTCTTTCTAATGAAACCTTGATGGTATCCCTCTTGTCATGCATGACTGAACACCATTGTCTTGAATATGGGCCATCCGAACTCAGTTGTAACACTTTGGATAAACCAGTGAATGAGGTTGTCCTCACGACTTATTTGACGACTTTTTTAAATCCAATGATGCGTCAGAGAGATAATTTTGATTACTAGGACATTTGTGCCATTTTTTTCTCCAACGACATAAATTGCTAATCTTACATACCTGAAACTCTTAATTAAACACATACATAACGTCATTGGAAAGACTCATAAAATGAGAGATTTTCTTAATTTACAAACAAGATCCTCCAGTGGTTCAAAGTGGTCGAAGTAGGGTAAATCACATTACCTTCCTGCAACAAACTGATCAAGGTAAATTGGATCGAGTTCAATTGAAAGTAAACCAGCTCATGAAAGTCACTGCAGACTCTAAAACTGCATAAGTTTTGCGATTTATATGGCAGTAAACGGCGCCACCAAGCGAGCCTACCGCGAACTGATTAAGCAACCGCGGGAAATGAAGAGCGTGGGGCTGGCTACTGATGCTGAGCAACAATTTCCTGTTCTAAAAACCTATATCCATGATAACTCCTAGTTATTACACCTGTGATTATTCCCATTTTTGATAACCAGTGATTGTTTAGACCATTATGAATACATTGGTGTTCTAACTTTCTATGTTTTAGCTGAGCAAAAGGTTACGCCACACGAAGTGTCGAAAATAAATGTCCTTCCAATCATACACGTCCCGTATGGCATGTAGGACTGTACACTTTTGCACACAGGACGTTTGTGGAGTATTCCGGTTCCTTTAACACTTAATGATTATCAATGCTCTTATATTTTCCAGAACTAAATCTCCAATGGTCAGAGATCTTCCACTGATCACCAATCACTGCATCCTGACCAAGCACTAGTCTCTCCACCAGCCCTACGTTATTTTGTTCCCACCAATTTCCATGAATACCATCAATAAATTGAATAAATGGTGCACGCGCTCAGCGAACAAACACACATCGAAGGACTCCCCGCGTCCTCATTTCTCCTTTACAATAAGTAATTAAACAACCAATGCCTTCTGCATCAGTTTTCTATCAAGTTTAGAACGAGAAGGAAATTCGAAAGTTGTAAGAACCAAAACAGGTGTGGGATAGATAAGGATTTGAATTCAGTGATTGCATACACTTGCAAGATGATTAAAAACATAATTTAAGTATCTTTCCAACGGAACGGGTGCTTCAAAGGAAATTTTCAGTATAGGTATAAGCTTTAATTATATACCCCCAAAAAAATATTTCCTAGTTATTTGGAAATCAAATGCTATTTTGGGGGACATCCAAGATTATTGATAAAGCCTTATACACGCAATCAGCATTCTGTTACAAAACATATTCAAATCAGGACAATTGTGCAACAGGTATGACTTTAAAACCATGTACAGTGAAAACTGGACTTTAACTTGCCTTACCTAAGCCATGCAGAATCCCAATTGAATACCCATTTTGAAATTTATGGACTGTGTAATGAAAACGCAACGCAAATGCATCATACTTTGTATTTCAATAAATCTCAACTACACCTTGATTTTACCAACTCCTGGAAAATCATTAGATATTCACTTTACCCCTGTCGAAAGTGAAATGTGCAATGTCTGTATATGTTAACAGAATGAAACGACTAAAGGCGCCTTTGTGTTTACAACAGTAAAAGTGAATGCGAAAATCATTGAAAAGGAAACCTTGGTACAATCTCAATCGATTTGAATACGTGAAGAAACTTTTCTTTAACATGGGGCCTGTTCATTGGAATACGGTCATATAAACTGAGAGGAAAAAAACTACATTTTAGCTAACTCGTCTCTAAGCGAATCGCGCTGCGCAAGAACGATATGTTCGATGTACCCAAACCTATTGGCAGAATGACTGCAAATAGTTACTCTAGGAGGTCCTGAAGGCTCAGCTCCTGAAGAAATGCACCGCAGCAATGTCAAAAAGAAATGGTGAGGGGGTGGATTCCGCTTGTTTATAAGGTCAAGTCTAGAAGTAGGAGTAGGTGATGATAACACCAGTATATGACGAAAGGAAATTCAGGGGTTAATAAGCTATATGAAATTTTTTAATACAGAAAAGAAAAATGTTGAAATTATGGTGTAGAAGGATTTAGTTCTGAAAGTATGACCCTGACCTATCCATTATCTGCTACACTTTTCCTTATTCTAGTCTGAATTCTTGGAGGATAAAGGTGAATTAAAACAAAAAGTATCTTTCCACCAAAAATATAACTGAACTGAACATTCTACAGCTTTATTTTAAGTACTTGGCAAAAAATACACGAGCAAAGATAGGAAACGTGAAGACAGTTAATTGAAACATTGTGAGTCATGCATCCTCAGTGACACACAGGAAAAACACGCAAATTTAAAATTAGAAGTCAGTCGAACAAAATAATGTCTTGCCATAACGAAGTGCTACTTCTTGGATTGATTTTGAACCTAGCGAGCTTGAATCCATGTAAAAACTGAATAGTACGGAGCCCCTAAAGGGACAAGCTTTGAAAATAAACTCAGAATACACAAATATTTTCAGTTTGTAGGCTATTTCGTGCACTCAAAATCATTTCGTGCGCTGGTGATAAATTATTCCTATAAATAGACTGCATGTGTAATATTTTGTCTTATTCTTTGTTTTGAAGATTGACAGTTTTAGGATCCGATTCGAAAGATAAGTTATCGTGAACACAAGCGCGTATTGGAAATTGGTCAACGAAAAGTAAAGGAGCGTATCTCTCAAAAATAGCTTTACTGTTTTTCTGAAAGGAATTGTATTTGATGGATAGTTTTTCCTATTCGTTCCTTGGCCTTTTCTCCATTATTTTTGTTCTTTCCTAAACCTGGTATCATTTATTGTGAGTTTTATTTGCTTGCCAGGAGCGGCAATGGTCAAGGTCGATTTTGAGATGAAATTTTGTTGATTTATTTTGGGTGCAATAAGAACGTCTGTGGTTCCACGTTATATCTCCATTTGTATACCGTCTCTCGTGTTACATATTTCGTGGGAGTGTGTAAGACATTTTCTTCAGCTAAGACCTCATTTAAGAAAGTTTGAAATTCTAAAATCATGCCCTAAGCCCTTAATCATCACATTTGGACTTTTTCCAAAAAAATGATACATTTCAAGCAGCATACGAGCATATTTTTAATACTCCGTTTCCCTTTAATGAGCTAGAAAAAAACCTTAAAGAAACTACGAAAGAATATAGAAATCTGTAAGACTCTTACCTTGGTGACCTCTCTTCTCCAGAACGAAAGTCTACGAGTCGGAGGAGTTTAATGTTGGCTGAAATCGCAACACAGCAATATAAATGTCCACAAGTTTACCTCATTAACAGGTCTCGTTGCATAATTATAAAAAAGCGTCATTCCACATGAATGGGCTATAATGGTGTTCTGGCAACATTTAGGACCTTCTACAAAAAATAGCCAACCTAAAAATGGATTGAAATTTCTTTTAAAAAGTGACGAGTCAAAGTAAACAATCATATTTTTAAAGGTTAGTTTTTTGCTCTGTATCTTTTTAAATGGAGCTTTCCCTGGCTTTCTTCTACTTGTTTTTAAAAATAAAGTAACTGAAAGCAGTGCTCTCAGTGCTCCGTTCCTGTGTGCATCGCTCAAAATTGTTCCTCCCCCCCCAATTTTCCACTGAATGACCGCGGGCCTGTACAATAGTGTCACCATCCGGGAGGGTAAAGAGTATTGGTTGTTCATTACCTTGTAACATGCATATTAACCATTGTGAAGTTATGAAGTTCCAATGATCGTGAAAGGAGTATGTAACATTATATTGAATGTGAAACTTATTTTTCCATGAATGCCTAGTTTCAGACGCAAGAATGTGTAACACCAACATCCGAGTCAGGTGTTGATTTGGGGGTGACCTGTGTCAGAAACAATCGGGCCTTTTACAACTTTCTTTCAAAATTGTAGAATTTGAGCGAGCCTGTATGGACAATGTCAATATTTACCCTCTGGATCAGCCGGAATACTACGGTAAATTAATATAAACGGTGAAAGGGACATTGAAAAGTCAATCTAACTTCGTATTTGCCTCTAAACTGAACCAAAGAGGAAAACGAACAAAGTTTACGTTTACGACTTAAATGCATGAAAAATACGTTTTCTTTAAATTAAAGACTAAACATTTAGCACATCCAAGTCTGGCCTATGTGACTTCTACAATCATTGGTCGCTATCACAAACGTATACGTTTCATGCTGTTTTTCATTTACGCTTTTCAAGTTTATAGATTGAAGTTAAAGCAATATGAAAACTTCTGTCAGCTATTGGCCGGTCCATATCCGAGCATGTTTTCCGCTACACAGAGAAAAATTTACAGGTGCACTCGCTGCCACTTCGCTTCTTTTCAACTATTTTCGAAAAGACAGTAAGGCTGCATTCAAATCCCTTGTCTAGAGCTAGGTCTTGGTCTTCACTCAATTGGAAATGGGTGGAGACGCGGAGACAATGGACCGAGCAGTAGTTCTGGAAGCCCGTTTCGGACACGGCCTAAATATGGTTCCTTGTTCGTACTGCTTGATGTTACCTGAGAAATGACAACAAACCTCTGTACGGGACAGAGTAAAAGGGCTAGCCAAATACTTCACGAGTTAATTCCACATTGCGTAAACACAAAGAACTATAGTTCTTGGATTCTTCTGAGTATACTTGTGTAAATAAACACTCACCTTGTAAAGTCTGGTTTGCAATCTGCGCTTTCAGGATGCTGTCTGAAGGTGGAGTTGAGTGGTAGTCGGTATATGATGAGCAAAGCGGCCGCTAGCGCCTTTAAACAGGCCTGCCATTTCCTGAACAGTGACTGGTAAGCTTAGCCTAGTTTGCCATTGGACCCCTGCGCGCTGTCACTCACACACATCACCGACCATCACCGATGAGCGGAAGTTATGATACTTGTATCACCGACACAATCAACTGACCAAGTCTAACTGGTGGATATTAATGTTAGTGCTGCATAAATAAAACTTGTTCTGTTTTATTGACACGCGAGAACCTGTCATTTACAAACCTCTTTTTGTCACCAACTTGTTGGGTGATTGACTGTGATTGGGGGATGGAACATGACGTTCACCATCTACCAGCTGTGTATAATTCATTTAGTGGGGTGCTATCCATAATAGCCCTTTCTCTGCGCTGGGGACTTCGCGCTGTCGGCGAACTCAGTCAAGCATTCTCCAGTGCCGTGTTGCAGCAATCATGAACGAAGGTCTTCACCAGAAATTAGCATCCATCGATTACCAAACAACAAAATCCTGCAGAGAAAGTGGATTGTTAAGATCAAACGAGACGAGGGGCCACTTTTCAAGGGTACATTTTGAATTTAAAATGACTTCTTTGGGCCAAAAAAGTAATCTCCGGCCCTACGCCGTACATGTTATTGCACTTTGGTACAGTCCGATCGATCTAGTCCAGCATAATGAAATGACATCAGTAACTTTCGAATTAGCGTCAACAGAATTCTGAACTTCCCAAAAGAAAATAGCCCAGTCATTAAAGGTAACCCGCTGAATGACAAAAATAGTCTTCAAACTGCTCGATCGTAGCGTCAACCGGCCGTTTAGGCCTAGACAGAAACGGTACGTGCATGCAACGTCAACAAAAAGTCCCAGATAAAATCCCGTTTAATAAACTGCTCACCCTTCAAATTATGAACGTAGGCTTCTGAAAAAATACTTGAAGCCTTTATCAAATTGTTGTTCTCCACTGCTTTTGGGGCCCTTTTCCGGAATCCTCCACAAATCCGAAGGTTATCTCGGGAACCACGGTAAGGTCCCTTCTGTTTACAGCCATCGTGACACGCGAGTCCCCTTGAGCCTCGTTTTCACTTGCCGTGAATAACATTTGCAAAAATGTTACGAAATGCCTATAATTATGCAACAATACAACTGGACGTTTTGCAAGCGGTGGTTGACAAATTAAGACAAACTTAAATTCAAACAAAAAGTGAAACAACATTAAAAATGCATTCCGATATTAGATATTTCAATTATAGCAAGTTACTATGATAGACGTTTCCCAATTTTATTTATGAGGCCTTTGTTTTATGCCATCAACTTCTGTGTAGCGGTTCTGCAATAGGCACGTATAAGTTTAGCGATTACCGGCGAAAGTATAGATTTAAAAATGCTGATTACTAGCATCACCTCGTTTGTTGAAACGTTCACGAACTAGCGCCACATTGTAGCGGAAGTATAGCACAGGAAATGCAAAACTAAAGCCCTTGGCTTTGTGGCTTTTCACCTACATGGGCACTTGCGTATTTTCAGCCATTGCTAAATCATACAGACACGGCTTCCAGTTGTTTCTAAATATTCGATGTAGGCATGCCAAGCCTAAATTCCCGTCAAAGCAATTTCGAAAAATTTTCAACTAAGTTTCTCACGATACGACGTTGCACAGTTTGAAGTCATATACAAGTTTCCAAGCAAAAACATCATTTGTTAATACTACGGCTTTTATTTTCAGACTGACCCATAACGTTGACTCTGACGGGGAAAAGCTTATCATACCTTCGACCACGTCTGGAATTTCCTACCCGCCCCCAAAAATTACTCTTGAGAAGGTCTGAGGGCAAGCAGGTGAATTCTTTTACCCCTTTCCCGTATCCACCCTCCCACAAGACCAAAGATACGAGAACCGTAAACTATTACATGGACGCTCTGAATGTAAGAATAACGTTTATGGGTAAAATGAAGAAAAATTCAAAGGAATCCCACAAATTCTCTTGGGATCGATGAAAACATCCGGACATCTGACATAATAGAAATGTTTATGACTTTTGTGTTAGTATTTCCAGTCGTGTATGCCCTCAATCAACTTCGTGTCATTATGTATGTATGTCAAAATGTATGTACGTGTAATTCTTTTGATACTTCCTGTTAAAATGCATTCAGAGATTTAGTTATAACATTAGTCTATTGCTCTCCAAGGATTGCCCAGAGGCTTCATCAGTTTGGAGCCAATTCCCCAACATCTCCAGGCTACAACTTGTATAGTTCTTAAGGTAGCCCCTGTATTCTTTACAACCTCCCAGTCAACGGGCTCTAGTGAGCCTCCGAAATAGACCGACAGAGGGGGCAATTTTCCCAGCAACGGAAGCTCCTCCTGTGGGTGCACCCTCGCAAAAAGGCCAAAAATATGTCCACCGAGTTCATTAATAAAAATTATGCACTCACAATATTCTATATTAGAGAGTCCTGAGAGCCATGAAATTGAGGAATTGGAGAAATATGGCACTGAACCTTTGGCCTGGACTTTGGGCTTCCAATTCTGAGCAATTTGGGTGCAGTCGGGTCCAAAAGTGGCACTATTTGGCCGTTTTCCAGAGGGATTTCCTTTTTTCAAAATGGCCACTTTTCTGGGCAGGGACATTTTCTTCATTTTAGGGGTGGTCTGCTTCTGGTGTAAATTTCTCAACAATTCATAGGTCAACCCCCCAAAACTTGAAAGGAAATTGAAAGGGGACATGTTGATCATCGTTTTTCTGTGCAGCCTGCACACCTGTGAGATTTGTATTTTTAAAGTAATTGTGAAGTATGGGGTTTATCACTGCTGTCTATGGTAATTTATTTTTTGTGGTGCACCTTTGGTGGGAACTGCATTTCGCCCGTTCATAAAACAACTATGAAATGCACGCGTTAGGTCCCATCGCTACCAGCGAAATAAGCACTCCCGACCAACAGGGCTCTTTTCAACCGATGAGGGGGTGCATATGCTTGGAGCGGATAACAGATCAGAGTATTCGAAAACATAGGCCTCAGGCTAATCATAATCTAGTTAGCAGGGGCTATTTAGGACCGTATTGTCTACAACCAGTACTTCGTTAGCTAAGGCTACATATTACGGTGTATACAACAACGGAAGTTCAGCCTGTGAGTGGGGGGTGTAGTTGTGAGCGTACTTTCTGCATGTGCGCAACTCTGTTGAGCACAGACGCCCTTTTGGTCATGTGGCCTCAACTCAAGACGCCAAAGTGGTATAAAAGGGGGACTGCAGGGACTCGGAAATTTTGTTCTGAAATTGTTGTAGGACCACATCTCTTATCGTTGAATGAAAGAATGAAGTAGAAATTAAAATTCAAATCTAGTCCAATGAAGCCAATTCATGAAGAAGAGGGATTTCAAGTGATTTCGTTTTATTCTTTTCATCATTTAGTTTTGCTTTGTTTAATCCATTTGGCCGTATTTATTTGCTCCCATCGAAGTTCCAAAGTTGCTGTTAAAATTGCTATCCCTTTCAAAACTACCATTCTGTATGCTTTGCCCTTGATTGTCCACTGTCAAGTAGACTTTGTTGAGTTTGTGATTGTAAGTAATGGATTCGTATGATTATCTAAAAATTAGTGGTGCGCGATAATTTCTTTAATTTCAGAAGATTCCCCTACAAATCAAAATCATGTAACCAACGAGCAATTATATGATCAGACACGGAATGACGCTATCTGATTATGGTTATTTATTCTAAGTGAAGTTGCTCCACAACGGAAGTGTCTGCATAGATATGGTAATAAAGTAATAGACAGGTATGTATGTCAAAACAACAATCAGGTATAAGCCTAATGAAAGTTCACAAACAGTTCTTGCTTGCTTGTCCAATGATGTGACCTGTACGTGACTGTAAGTGTCGAAAGTCCCAAGGTGCATTGAAGGGAAAAATTACGCTGATCTTGGTAGACGTCAGCCAAGAAAATTGCTCCTACGCCGTGTGGGTTCCTCTCAGGCGGTTCAAGTAATACGCGGTGGTACTGCCATGGGCCTACTGCGCCGGCAATGTGTTGAAATGACGGTGATAAAAAAATCCTGGAGAGTATCAAACTGCTCCGATAACAGTCCGTAGGGACACGGGGGTCACGCCGGGGCGCCGCTCGAGTCACGATTGTGACCTGCTGTGACCCCCCTCCCCCCAAAAAAATGGCGACGTTAATTGTAAAGAGAAAGTTCTGGACTCTTGAGTTGAGACGTCCAGGAAACAGCAACAAAGGAAATACAGATGCATTACAGTCACCTCGTAATCGTGTATGATCGCACGATCTCCACACAGTATAATGGCGACGACTGCGTGCACAGAAAACTAAGTTTGATGTCACGGTGGCAAAATACCGTCGCAAAAATCAGCCCAGACAACACCTTTTGCTGAGAAAGCAGCAACGTATAAACTAGACGTGCAGCAGTGCAGTACGACTGTAAACACCAAAAATCGCTTGTCAAGCACATAGCATGGACATAATGAAGTCAGCAAGGAATGTGGCATTGGTTGTCTTCTCACGTGACTTCGTACAAATTGATAAATATTCATTAATTATGGGTAAACTGGTCTACTACGTGTCGAAGTCAATTCAAAAGGGTCAATTATACGTACCTTCTTGTATTACATGACAACAAACCAACAGTGATTGAACATTACATAAAAGGCAAACATTTTGCTTGGTTACTACAACCTTATATTGGGGCTCAAGACCAAAGATAAATTACATTTCGGACTGTCATTTTATACTGCACTTTTCCAGACCATTTTCAGGTTCACTTCCGCACTCGTATGATTTGGTTTGTTTACAGGAACCACTCGTGATTATCAAGTTAAGTCAAACAGGGACAGTTAAGGTCATGCAGTACGGTCTCTCCGCTCTAACTACGCTCCAGCATCGTTCTCTGTGTGCATGGAAAATCTCGCTTTTGTATATCTCCCCTCTTGTACTCTACCCTGTCAAACATTGAAACCACGTGACGTTTACACAGGCCTACACACGCTCGTGACAATACAGAATGGGTCTTGTGACTGAGCGAAGTGCAAAGGCTCACGTGGGCCTGTTTCACGTTCACGCCTCCCGATGAATGTTTAAAACTGGCGTGACAAGTAGTTAAAGTCATTGTTGACGAGCCTCCTGAAGTGGATGTTTTTGAGAACGGTGCAGGAGACTAGACCAGACTGACAGCAACACAAGCTTTGGCAGTCTTCCGATTTATATCATCAGCTGCGTTACTCCGTCGATTTGTCACAATGAAGGCAACAGTGCTTGCTGTAGTGTGTGTTGTATGCTTGAACAGCGTCCAGACAGGCGCACTGTCACCGTACGGTAATGTCGGTGCGTTTCATTTCCGTATAATGCAGGCGAAACGAATGGTAACTGGGCGGGTGGCGGTTTTGTTTTAGTTGAGTAATGGTTAATAATAAACTTAAATTTTTCACTATGAAACAAGGAACTACGAAAATTCAGGGACTGAAGAAAACGGAATCTTTTCTCCTAGTTCTCTGAGAAAGTCGTTGTACAATAAAGCCCTTCATTTACATCACACACTTATAATTATTCGGAGTAAGGTTAAAATATTCGGCTGACAGAAACTCACAGGCAGTAACTTATTCAGTCAGAGGGGCAAATGAAAGAGCGAATGTGGCTTCGGGCTCATTCATCATGATTTGGGGTAGAAATAAAAATCAAAAGCCTTACTCATGGTCCCAATATCTTTCGTTATTATTTGCTTGTGTTGTTTTCTTGGGTTCTGGTGCTAATATTTGATAAAGAGATATACCCATTACTTTCTTTCCTACCCATGTAGGATTTCATGATTTCATGATTTGCAGAGAAGTGTGTCCCTCTTCGTTATAGGCCCGAGGATTTCGCAGCTTCACAAAAGACGACTGTGGAACAGTGTCGATGTCGCTGATCTTCACAAGTATAACCTTGACAATGACCCTCAGGCCCGTCATGGGTACCTGACTCAGCCCATGGACCACTTTGACCCTCTGGTCGACAAGCACTTCAACCAGCTTTACTGGATCGTTGACAAATACTGGAAGTCACCCAGCCATCCTGTCTTCTTGTACGAAGGGGAAGAAGCACCCTTGTCACTGGACGAGGTAGCAAATGGTAGGATATCAGCGAACAAACAAATATTAGACCAAGAATCAACCAACATCCTGTTAAACAGCCGTCGCAATGTAAGTTCACATTTGGGTCACTCTGCGCCAAATCTCTTGAAGATTGTAGAATGATGACAGACTCTATTCGTGATGAAACCTTTCGAAAATTCCTCAGGAGAACAGTGTCCCTCATACCTTCCACGCGTTGCCGACACCAGCGAGGTTTTATCCCGACAAATCAATGTTTTATTCGCCCTACTTTCTAAAGAATCCCTATGAACCACTGATAGTCTTGCCATTGGACACGAAATGCAAATCAGACATAAGAAAGCCATTTATATCTGAACAATATTTACAGGTCACCACGCTGAGATGGCTAAAGCTCACGGCGCCCTTATCCTTGGGCTTGAGCACCGTTTCTATGGTAATAGCACCACTAAGGAAGGACTGTTACTGAGCGAATTACAATATCTCTCAAGCCAGCAACAGTAAGTACACAACCGCTTAAAATACTTCATATTGCTTTAAAGTTGACTTCCCCCTTTTTCGTACAGTAAAGCCAGGGAGAGAAAGAGAAGGGTTGGGAGGTTGTTTTTTCAGTTAATGTTGACGATATAAGCAATCCGGAAGACATCAATATCATACATACATACATACATACATAATGAAATTTGCTACAACAATTAATTAGAAGGGGCGTGTTATTAAGTTTGATAATTGTACATAATAACTGTATTGGATAGTTTTGCTAAATTATTACCAACATATAGGGAGAAAGAATCACTGTGCTTTTGACTTTCCCAATTACACAAACAATAATTCAGACTGGACAAGAAATATAAGACAGGAGACACGAGACAAACAATATCATACACTGCCAGGATAGACAAAAGCATAAGACAGATATGCTCTCAGTTGAGACCAGACCTTTTAAAAGTAGACTGACATGATACATGATCTGATTTTTTTTAGATTTGTAGAATCTCATGAGGTAGGTTTTAAGTTTTCTGGTAAATGTATTTAGTATTGAGTGTCTTGTCTGATCCATATTAAGGTTGTTCCAAAAGGACACACATCGTGCGATAAAACTATTTTGGAAACTGAAGAACGATTATAATTAACATAATAGTCGCCCTTAAATGCACATCCAGTTGCATGAGAATGTACTGAAAAGCAATTATAAACCAGTCATTGTAATTGCCCGGTTAAAGACCATATTTGTATTTAAATATAAATTTACCCAAGTTCATATTAAAAAGGTCGTTTGTAGAAGTTGGCATTTTCGGACAACTTTCCTCTGCAAAATAAAAAGCTTGTTGCATTGAAAGGTCGAGCTGCCCCAGGTAAGAAATGTCTTAGCCCGGAAGGAGAGGTTCCTAATAAATAGCACAATCTTATTTTGTCCCGTGCAGACTCGCCGATTTGTCAGTGTTTTGCGTCTTCGCCGAGAAGATGTTGGGCATGTCTGGTGACAACACATGGATTGTGTTTGGAGGATCGTATGCAGGCGCTTTGTCCGCTTGGTTTCGACTCAAGGTACAGTGCGCCCCCTTGAGGCACATCACCCCTCCATCTTACTTTATCTTACTTGTCCTGTAAATTATGTTGCTCGTTGATCGTCCTTTTACGTTGAACAGCTTCACCAATTCATCAGATTATTTCTTGTTTTCCAGTACCCGCACTTGGTGTATGGCTCTGTTGCGTCGTCTGCTCCAGTGCGCGCCCAGGCCAACTTCGAGGGGTACAATGACGTGGTAGCCGCCAGCTTTGCAGACCCAATTGTCTTTGGTTCTGCACAGGTACTTACCAAGAATAATCATTTGACATTTGCCGCTTGGATTGGTTTTTGACCTCAAATTCAAACCCTGAGCTCAACGGCGCGGTGCTGGAGGTCAACAAATATCACAGAGGTGGTTAAAACTTTTTATCAATGGGTCAATCTCCACGAGGTGACAGCACCCTTCGTTTTTGGGCGTGGCTGCCCCAAGGGTTTGTTTGGGTTTTGAAAAAAAAAAGACCTTTAGCGCATCAATCCATACGCTATGAAAAACTGCCCAAGGAGAGCTTTAATACAAGAACAAATAATGCGTGGTTAAACCCCATCTGCTAAAATCTTTTCACCCGAACGAGGCCTTTGCCCAATCACCGTCTTGCCTGGTATAGCTGGTGTTTGGTTACGCCGGTGTCTTAACGATGGTAGACTCGATTGAATTTCACTTTCGACGTTGTTCCCTCTAATCTCAGCGGATGGCAACGCAAAATTTTTTTATATGTCCCAAAAGGTCAACGGATGGGACTATCTGTGCATTACTCCCTTTTTTTGTTTTATCTCAAAAATATATACTCGGGTGGATTTCATATGACACACAGCTGCCATGTATAATTAGGTATTTGATTGTAAAGGATTAACCTCGCCATCTCCTGACGTTTTTCGTGTTTGTTGTAGTGCGTGGTTAGCATCAAACAGGCCTTTGCAAAAGTTGAGCAAATGTGGAAGGCTGGCCAACTTGCTCAGATCCAAAAAGATTTCAACACTTGCCAGGACTTGACGGAACCAAACGACTTCAAGACTTTCGCTAGTAATCTCCAAGGGGAATTCATGAGTGCCGCACAATACAATCGAGTGGAAGGAAATTCGTCAACCATCGGCGATTTGTGTAAAAAAATGATGGTTCCAGACCCCTATCAAGCTCTGGTCAATATCTTCAAGGTAATAGTTATGTCTGATACTGTGTTTAGAAATCGAAATCTGCACAGAAATAACCAGGAATTTTTTCCCGAACACATTTGCTTCCAAAACAGTTATGCATAGGAACATCCCGTGTATGTTTCGCTAGATATGTCCCAGCAAAGAATCACCATTGGATTGGATAAAACCTACCTTTTTTTCTTTTCAGTCCAGCAATTGTAGTGATGTGTCCTTTAAAGATTTTCTCAAGCAACTGCAAAACACCACCTTTAATTATGGTTCGATGGCTCGACAGTGGTTTTATCAGACCTGCACCCAGTTTGGATATTGTAAGTGTTGCATTTTCCTCTGTCTCTTTCCCCAGAACACTGCCTTTAAATTTTTTCAAACGGTAGGTCAATATCTTTCGAAGATGAATGAAACACATTTCACACGATCTACCCCTGCTTATTCTAGTTCTAGAAATATTAAACATTGACATATTGAAATCAAGAAAAAAAATTTAACTGAACATTGTGACTCTAAGCAATCTAATGCGCGCACATTTGTTCCTTGTTTTGTTGTTGAAGTCCACTCTTGAAAACAAGGGACTACTGTTTTCATCCGTCAAAATATTACAGGGCATGTAAGATGTATTTTCCGTAATATGATAATATTGTTGACACAAGCACTGTTTGTTTTCGATCGAAACGAATTTCATAAAAGAACCCATTATAACATGTAGCACGTTTTGAAAACACCGCAAGTTTTTCTAAATTTTTGTCTTTTTAATTTCAGTCTTTAACCCTAACACTCCCAAATCCTCCAATTTTAATACGATTTTACATACACCCTAGGGGGCTAAGGTTAATACTTCTTTATATCTTTCTTTTGAAATTACAGATCAGACTTGTGACAAGAACTCAACATGCATGTTCCTGCCCCAAGTCGATTTGGACTACTACTTCGCCTGGTGCAAGGGGATTTACAACATCCCAGCTGCCGACGTGGTGGAACAGGTGAACTTCACGAACGCTTACTACGGAGCAGACCATCCCAGGGGATCCAGGGTGGTCTTCGTTGACGGTGAGTTGAGCTGAAAACGCCGGCATGCCGCTTGTGTGCGAGTCTGATGGCGTCGTAGCAATGGCTTGGTGGTCCCTCGCGTGGGAACGAATCAGTGAATCAATCCAAGGGCCTTTTGGTGCAATCCGGTCGGACCCGTGATAAGTGATTCAATGAAGCGTATTCATTCATGGTGGTTTTGCATTTTCTCGAAAACCTACCTGCTTTCTAAGCACCTTAGCTGCTAGCGTTTCCTGGACGTCTCTTATAGCATTCGAATCCTGTTTGGGTGCTGAGATTGAATTAACCTGGTATTAACGTTTTTGTAAAAATACTTGTAGATTATACGTCGTGTAGGTATATCTCTTTGTTTCCACAAAGTGACACATTAATCGTAGGACGAAAAGAAAAAACTTTGCAAAATATAACAGCATTGAGCATGCGTGCAAGAGCCTGAAGTGGGAGACATTGGTCAAAAGGCACAGCTAGGCTGCGTCTGAATCACTTGGCTGCGGATTGAATTTACACGTGACTCAACGGGGGCTGGCCACAGCCACTACCAGAGACTCGTGCCTAATTTCAAGCTGCAGCCAAATAACTGGGACGCTGCCTTACTCTTGTTCTGAGAACAAAGGATGGGCATGCAGTGTAGTTACGTAATGGAGGAGATTGTCACATGCGCAAACCAACAACCAAAGCTTTCGTATATGAGAATGTAATGAGATCAAGTACTAAAAAGGAACAAGAAAGGCAAGCTAACCGAAAACAGCAAACGATTAAAAAACTAATGCAAACAGCATATTGAACGTTAACCATTATCTTTCCATCAATGCTCAATTTGCCATGACCTAGCCCTGGTTTTGTTTCTGTCTCATGTATTTCGTAGGTACCATTGATCCGTGGCACGCCTTGAGCGTCTTAACAAATCTGCCAGAGGACCTTAAGTCCATTTTCATGAAGGGTACATCTCATTGTGCAGACATGGCGCCTTATAACCCTGACGACACCCCCGCATTGAAGGCGGGCAGACTGGTAAGAACCACTCAGTGGCTCATTCTAATACTGGGGGGACATACCAACATACCAATCAAAGGCAAAACATGTTCCTTAATTGTTGTAAAAACAGAAATTACCCATAATACGATGCGACATATTTTGTCTGGCACGCTATCTTATCCCGAGATTGTTTATGACGACGTAATCAGATCCAGTTTAGCAATGGCAACGCAAGCAATAGTCAGTGAGGAACTACACAGAGTTGAATGAGCAACTAATTAGTGTTTAAAAATATGTTAAAAGAAATGTGCACAGATTTGTAGCAGCACATGCACATTTGAGATACCAGTGTAAAATCTTCGTAAAGGCTTTCATATTAAAAGGGGAAAAATAACGAAGTATTCGAAAAAGAAAAATACGGCGTTTTTAGTGACAGTCCTGTCGAGTGGCATTGGGCGGCAAATAACCAAAATCCTAAAACAAACTTTTCCAGACATGGAAGTAAGGAAGACGGGAAGGAGGGGGCTGGATATTTCCTTACACATTGGGCACTTTTCATTACATTATGTGCATCTTATATAGGGTAACTTCGGGCGCGAATTCTCGTTCCCTTGCACAAGTCTAACACTTTTGACATTGCACACGCGACATAAAGTCACACTCAAACGGCTCTGCAGTTGAACTGTGACGTGAGATTCCTTTGTCGTCGGCTGCAGCCCTTGTTACATCTCCTGCAATTATTTTTAATATCATGTGAATGGTTCTCACCATACTGACACATTATATTGCCCGTTGATAACCAGCTCCGTGTAGCAACCATGCCTGGTTCCAAATGGTCGACTAGATAGTCCAAACCATCCATCGTTCGGACGGTGTTGGTCGAGATACGGTTAACCGTCCCTCAAACTTCCCGTTAGTATCACCCAGAAGCGCACCCTCATTGGTTGAAAAGAGCAGCGTTGGTCGGGAGTGTTCATTCTGTTGGTAGCAATTCGACTGTGACGCGTGCATTTCCTTCGTTGCCTTTTCCAGTATGCACGCAAGCATCTGAAAAAAGAAAACAAAAGTTGCTCATATTTCCCCTCACTTTCGGATGACCTGTTGTTGCACCCTAAGATTACATGGTTGATGAATTGGCTTGTTTCAATTTTTCTTCTTCTCTCTTCAGGCCATTGAAAAGGTGGTCAGCGACTGGCTGATGCAGGCAGAAATGGAAAAGAAACAAAAGTAAAGGCTGGCTGATCAAAGGGATAACAAAACAGCGAATTTTCAATTTATTTGGGGTATATAGCGCTGGGAAATTGCAAGGAACAGATGTCCTCATATGTTGTACCTCAAAATTTTCCTGGATTTGCTCGTTAAGGTGATTAATGCAGTTATTCATTTGTGCTTTTCACGAATATCTGTAAATATTCCTCCGATTTTGCCTGCTTTTTAGGCGATTTTGTTAATTAACATTTTCAATCCATCGTGTTAAGGGTACAAACGTTATACTGTTCAGTGACTTTGGCCCTGAATACCATACCGGTAACAATTCTCTCTATCACAGGCTCGTTTCCCAGCGATATCACGCAAATGTCTAAAATTAACAGCAGTTAACCCCTGCTTTGACAGGAAGGACTGAGGAAAAACGGAGGGACTGGGTCAGACAGAGAAAAGAGTTCAAGAGGGGGAAAGAAAAGAGAAAAAAAGATTGATCAAAGATGTGCCTTTTTCCAGTAACATTAAAATTATGTGACAATTCTATTGAAAGTATTGAGGTACACTTCTTATATGTACAATAAATTACTTATTAACATAAAACAGAATTATTCTTACAGTTTGTGGCCTCTAAGGTTGTTCGCAGTCAGGCACCAGTCCAAAAGTCACTGACAGTCCGCTCAGAGTGAGAAACGATGTTCAGAAAACAAGCAAAACTAAACTAACACGCTGTGATCAAGAGAGACTTAGCAAGGATAGGTATTTGTGTTTTTTCGCGTCCCTGATGAAATGTGTTCCATGCTAAAGCATTGCTACTTGCCTGACAAAAACATAAATATGCAGCACCTAAAGTGACAGGGCTAATCGCATACGTTTAACGACAGGTAGCTACTGTTATATGTAATAGGGACGGGGACCAGTCCAGGCCTGACCATGGAGGAAGGGCACAGGAGGAATATGAATTGCCCGGGCTATAACATCTGGCCAGTTAACGCTTTCTGGCATGCCTGGTATGTCCATAGCCAGAGCCTAGCGCATGCTTGCTACACACCACCTGCTTTGCAACCATAAGCCCCCTTTGTACCCCATGATTATTGCCGCAATTTTTCGTTGGTAATCTGCATCCCTAAAACGTTGTGTACTGCAGTATAGGAAGTTGAATATTGTAGCGTGTCCCGCTGCACAGGGTTCGACGCTGTAAGAACGACACTCAGGTGCAACTCACTTTTCTGGTCACAAAAATATCTGCTTTATTCTGTCGCAATCTGACAGCACCACAATGTGCTCTTCCGACCAGCTCTTCACAACATGGCGCCTGACGGCAGGGACTGCGCAGGCGCGAGGCGGGAAAATCGCGGGCCGCTCGCAACCAGCGCGGGCAGCCAGCCAACTCCATGCGGGTCCGAGCTGGCGCCCCCACCGGCCGGACCCGCCGGCGCTACAATATTCATGCCATCGTTGATGCTTGATATGATCCGACAACAACATCAAATTTAGTGCTTGCGCAGTTGCTTTTATTAGGCTGTGTACCCAAAGTGTTCATGTGCAGTTCTTGCCCTTATCGAACACTTTCTTCTGGACTTCTTTTGGGAATTAATAGCCAAGCTGTTTTTAAGATTTTGAGTTTTATTTGAATCCTTTTTATAACGGAATTTACACGAAAAGGTATTTTATGAGATTTCATGATCAATCCCTGTGATGAAACAGCGCATTTCGTTAACTGTCCTGTGGTGTTCAATATTTTGTTTACCAGTCTTAGCCAAACTCGTACAAAGACTTTTAAAACTGATGTTTTTGGAGTGGCAAAATGAAATTACAAACACATGCATGCATAACGAAAAGGGCATCAAAATCCTAAAAAATTATTCAAAACGACAAAAGTAAATCCAATGGTATATATTTTTCCTTCCTGTTTCCTGGTCACTGCGATCGATTGTAGTTAATTCCAAAGAAAACGCCACAAATATTGTTACGATGTTACTGGCCCCAGGTGTCCCGCTAAGCTGCAGGCCGTAATCAGGCATTTTTGGGATGTTTACTTTTGTTCGTCTGACCGGGCGGTGATGATCATCGGGCACTTTAATGTGCCAGAGTTGTAACTCCTGTGTCCTTCCTCCATGACCCAACTGTGATACGAGCAATAAACCATTTGCAGGTTAAATTTGAATAAAATCTGGTGCACTGAGTTATTTGGCTGCACATAAAGATAGCGATTTAAACTCCCCAGACTAAAGACACTGTTGCTATACCTCGTGATTCAGGGCAAGCTTTCACATAACGACCGCCATCTCTGGAATGGACTGGTTCCTTTGTGCCCTTCTTACCCATTGAGAACAGTTTATTATTACAAGGCGTCTCTTATGTAACTAAGCAAAAGTTTGCCCGATTCACGAGGTATACCGACAGTGGTTTTAGTATGGACAATTCAAGTTCAATGTTCACGGGAATATATAGAACTCATCACTGTACCAGATTTGAATCAAAGTTAACTCGCAAAAGGCTTATTTGCAACGCATGCAGGGCGCCACCAAGTAGTTGTCATGGAGCGGCCTTTTCGCACTGCATTATGAGACAATAGTCGACAAAGTCTCATTCGCTAACTGCGCTGTGAGGGAGAATTTTTTTTCCGAATGTTTGTTTATCTTGGATGAAAATGTGAAGCTGAGTATTACCAATGAGGTTAGGTAGTCAAAATGTTGGTGTTATGCGGTGAACAAAAAAACTCCCCAAATTACGTACGAAGTGCATTTAATTGCTGTAGCGTTTTAACAGTTAACTTGAAAAGTGACCCGTCGCAGCAAACTCTTGATGGCACGCTGCCGTATTGCAACGCGTTGGTTACTTTTATTAATGTATTTTGTGATGTTTTAGCTGTTGTAATTTTTCCCTGTAATTCAAATTAAGCAATAACAGTGATTCGTGCGCAAACTACTGCTTTAGGTTTTCACATGCTTATGTCCTAAGTTTGCTTTCCTCGTGGTATAAAGATATGCAACTTATGGTAAAAAGCCATGGGCACCCTTAATCAATAATGTATTTCATAGAAAGTTTTTTTCAATGAGTAGGATTACAACTGGAACAGAGGAGAATGGCGTCTTCAATAAAAGTAATTATGGAAACAGCCCCCTGAGGTGTCTGGCACAACATGGACAGTTTTAAATGTTCCAAAAGTGCACTTTTCGGTATGCCTTAAGCACACAAGAGTTATTAAATAGTTTTCATACCATGTGGTGGAGTTTCAAGTTGCTTATAGTTTATTTAACATTAAAGATTCATCACACATTTTTCAGTGTACATACTATGTATTTCGTCTAAGTTGTCGAAAATAAAAGAAAGCGTTCACAAAAAATGGTCACCACTTTTGCATCGGCAACTAACTTGTATTTTCTTTAATTTATAAAGTAGTTACTGCACCCTATTATGAACACATACCGTCTACCAGCAAAATTAGGCCTTTTATACAAGGTGATAACTAATGTTCACCGAGTACATCTCATGCACGTGCACAGAGACATTGCAGGTTGCAGACCACCAAATAAACTATGTTTTAGCAAAGATAAAATACCTGCCCTATGAATTCAGAGAAAATACAAGGCGTTCAACGAACAAAACCACACTTATGCATTCATACCATGGATGTATTAATGTGTGTTTAAGCCGACAAGATTAAACAATGTTTCTTTGCACTCCACTACAAAAGGGTACAATGTAAGGTCAGTTTTTATCAAATAAGTTGATAACATGCAGATTATAATCCCTTTCAGAGATAAAGGTCTTCAGTTTGAGAAACTTCTCAGTTGCAAAGGTTTTAAAAACAGTGAAAATGCGGGTACAGGCCTGTTTATTGACCTGCAATCTTCAAAAATGCCACCCTTGCATGAAAACGTAGGCATATCATACACTTTTTTACACATCAGATATTAATTTAATCTAAACTTAAAATCGGTTCATATGTTTGTGCTATACGCCATTTTAATATAACAATTTGTAGCTATCGGAAATGGCTTTCTAGAAAGAAATGCAAGAGATGAAAATTGACAATTCAGGACTGCATGTTGTCATTTCAGTGCAGTTTGCGCATACAGCTCTTGGTAAGGCAAAATTTGTCACTAATGCATTATAAAGTGTATGATGTTGCGCTCGGTGATTACAGCTTAATTGTTTGAACAACCTACACATTCGTGAGCCAGCCTTTTTTCAACAGAGAAATATACTACTTTATAAACGATACCTTACATTACCAATATATCCACATTTTTTCTTATACATCTCTGACAAGTTGTCGTTTTAAAAGTATTTCAAACAAGAAAGAGACGTGGAAATATCTGTACCCCTCAATATTTTTACCAGTATCGTCATTGTGCAGTGTTTCAAGCCTGAGGTTTGGTAGTGTGTTGTAGTTATTTTGACACTAATTTTCTGGAAATCTGACATACTGTTCTTACAAAATGCCCCAAAAGTTGGCCGTCACAAGCTCGGTCTTCTTTCAACTTAGTTTACGTGTAGAGGCAGTCGTAAATGACACCAAAACTTCACCTATAAAACGACTGGCTCTATATGAATGCTAATAATAAGCTGCAGGGCCAGAATCCCTCAGCCTGGCCTTGGGTTAATCACAAAATGCTTTGCTCTTCTAGAGTCGAGAATTTAAGCTGTAGATTATCAAGTAAGCATTAATACATTTAATTTTAAAGTTACATTTTTCAATATTGTTATAAACTTGAGCAAGCCTACTAATTTCTTGCATACTACATGTTCGTAAACTTGGTTCTCACGTTAAGTACAGCTTAAGTGGCAAAATCAGGCCACAGGTTGAATACACCTAACGGCATATTAGGATCTTGACTTTTTAAAAACACGAACCTCTTAAACTGATCTTTGTCCAAATACTTCAAAACTGGAATAGAGCCAATTTGATGTCTTATCCAACATGCAGTATAAACCCACTATCCTATGTGCGACTTTAACAATGTAGTAAAAACCACTTCTACGTGTATAACAGTCGTTTGAAAATCTGAGTACGTGATATACTATCGATCCATTTGGTAATGGATGGCATCTTGCCAAAATATGAGGAAATCTGATTAATGACACCTTGTTCTTTCAAATAATGTTAGGAGGATATAATCGTGTCCCCGCACCCATACACTCCTACTGATGAAGCTTACAAAAGAAAGTTCCGGCGATACTGAATATGAAAAAAAACACAATTGTTCCTAAATTTCTGTCTAGACTGCAAAGTCTTTCCCAAACATTTTAATACAACAAATCAACTCAACACAGAAGGCCTGTAAAAATGTAACCTTCATTTAGCGCTATACTGTTGGTATGCACAAAAATTATAAAATGTGAAGTAAGTCCTAAGTGCACAATATTTCTTCCAACGGCTATTTATTTACATTTTCAAAGTTGCCTTCTTATATCTTTAAGGGGTGGAATATGCAACAAAGATGACACAAATGTGTCCGTGACCACCTTAAGGGCCATCTATAAAGGGTGGTCAGATGAAATGCTGGCCTGTTACACCTCTCCTCCATGCTAGGTACGCGCAGTAGTTCAACCCCTCCCCGACACTCTATATATTTTCTTTTAGCTTTTCAGACCATCCTATCCTGAAATCATGTAAAATGGCACATTAGGAACAATTTCTATTCATAAATGCCTTCCTTGACAATATTTCTATTCAATATTCTTCACAAAGACCTCATAGAATTTACAAGTTCCTATTTATCTCTTAAGGGAAGATGCCCCTAGGTCATGTGCCTGGGACCAAAACCAAAGGTCTGTTGTCTGACGCTGGTCTTATGTCTTATAGTCTGGATTCCGAGACCTTCCAGTTGTTTGTCCGCAATGCGAACCATCACTGGACCAATTGCTATCACAAGCGGGGTATTGGATATATCGTTTGATCATGGTTTGCAACAGGGTATGCTAATAATGCTAGGATATCCATTATTCATATCACGTGAAGTTGACCTCCTACATGCTTCACGTTCACGAGGGACGTTTTCAAACTGAAACATAAGCCAGTATCATGTTGAACTTCTTCACAGA